TTTTTGCATAAACCTTTTTGTCGAACAAAGTTTAACCAGTATGGTATTGCTTATCGTGCGCCATATCTTTGGAATAAAGTTGTTTTGCAAAACTTTAATATATTTTACACTTTTCCAGTTTTTAAACATAAACTCAAAAATTTTATTTTATTTTCCGATGACATAATAAGGTTCTTCTAATTGTAATTATGTACCTTTATTTAGAACTTTTTAATTGTAAAATACGTTTTATGTTAATTGTAAAATACGTTATATGTAACGACTCTTTTTGTTTTACTTTTCTTTTTGTTTTACTTTTTATATGTAACGACTCTTTTTGTTTTACTTTTTATCTTTTTGTTTTACTATTTACTTTTACTGTTTATTTTATAAATAGATTATATACATTGTAAATAATTATGCTAAATGCTTGTAAAAGGTTCTGATGATAAGATCAGTACGATCTTCTTTCAGAAACCTTGTTTGTATTTGTTAAAGTATTGTATTACGACAAATGTAAACTTAAAATGTAAAAAAAAAAAAAAAAAAAAAAAAAAAAAAAAAAAAAATATACTGAATAACAACCACATTATATTTTATAAAATCTTATCTTCCATAATTCTGTTTTTTTTATTTATTTATTTTTATTGGTTAATCTTGACCAGAAGAAATTTATATTTGAAGTTAAAAAATGAACTTTCGCCGTTGACCCTCTTTATTTTCTACGCTGAATAATATTGCATTTAATCTCTTTAAACTATCAAGACTAAACCGTTAAATTTAATAAATAATATACCAGTTGCTTAAACTTGTTGTTTATAATTGTTGTTCAACAGTTACCCCTACCCCCAAAGAAGGTGAATTTCAAGTTATAGTCGGATTTTTTACGAATTTAGTCAGGTATTTGACAAAATTCAGTCGGTTAAATTTTTGTTTTGAGGACCTTATTTTTTTTTCAGAAGCTAGTCGGTACTTTTTGAGGATTCCACCCCCCAACCCTGATTTTATTTGTTGAATCACCTCTGTACGTTGCTGTGAAATGGTTCAATACACTTATAACTATACTGAATACTCAGTTCTGTTTATAACTATACTGAATAAAATATATCTGGCCGGATATAATTTCTATATATTAAATCGGTTGTGCCGGGTAAAAAAATTTTTCTTATCTATATAAATGATGTTTAGTATTTTTGGTATTAATTATTTATGTCCGTTTGGTTAAAAATTTTGTTATTAGTTGTTTGAATTCAAATTAAAAGCAGGGACGATTTTAAGATTGAAATGAGAGGGGAGGGAGGAATTCTTAAAAAGTGCCGGCTGCCTTCTCAAAATTAAAAAAAGCTAATCAAAACTTACTAAAATGTGTCAAATGACAACTAGCCGATTATATTCTTGAGAAAACCGACCATAAGTTAAATATGACCTTCTTTGAGAAGATTTGACACCCTCCATACACCTTTTAAACCCGCCCCTCGTTGAACCAACAACGCGCTGAAAATAAGCTTAATGTTTTTGTATTTCATTTATTTCATCAAATAATTTTGCTAATGCATAAATAATCAATATGTTTAACTAGGAAAAGCTTATGGTACTATGTTACTGTGGTAACGATTGCAACTTCAAAGAATTAAAGGTCAATAAATTTAAAATATAGTTTCCTATTAAAATTAATATATTGCTATCAAAACACAGAGTTGAAGTGTTAGCATAATGCATTACAACGTTTGGAAAAATTATTTACAAATGTATTTAATAAACGCTATAAACAGTCAACAAAAACAAACTTATTAAAATGACAAATGCCTGAGGGAAAAATAAATTTTGATAACTCAAACTATTGCAAAAAGTATAGGCAGCGAGTTTTTTTTGAAACAATAACTCAATTTTATATATTTAAGTGGAAATTTTGTTTTAGGGGTGGAATTAAGTAAGATACCGCGCTGTTTTTCATTATAGACACATTTTATATTAGCTATTTGGGAAAAAAAATATACTAGAAAAATTTTAAAATGTCACGCAACTTCATAAAATATTGATTTTCAGCTTCAAAAGTTGGAAAACAACAACAGAGTAGAAAATTTCAAATATAAAAATTTTATAAAATTATAAGAAGTTTTAATCTTCAAAAATACAACCGATAACTTCGATAAAAAAAAAATAATAATAACCGACAACCTCGATCAACAAAAAAATATAATCACCAGCCTCGATCAACAAAAAAGTATAACCAACAGCCTCGATCAACAAAAAATAAAAAAAAATCTACCAAAACATAAAAATAATTTATAGATGCCCAACTGACACATAAATTGTTTTCAAATAAACTTATTTAAAAAACAATTTTAAATTATATTTCATTTTTTGTTTAAATTTTTTAAATTTATATTTTCAACCAACATCAGTTTCAACTGATTTTAGAGATTTTCAAGTTCAACCGGCTTCATATGATTCAGCTGTTTTAACAGTGAATCATATGAAGCAGAGAGTGCAGACAGTTTTTTGTTCTAATTTTTCTATGTTTTGTATACTTTGAGAATATATGCAGTTGCTCCATGATAAGGTATAAACCATTTTAGTAAAAACTAAGAAAAAATAATTTATTAAAGCGTTTCAAATTCTTAAATGTTTTTCGGTTTTTGTTGCATTAAATTTCTCTATTTTACCATAATGTTATAAATATTAGAAATGAAATTCGTCAAGATAGATAGTATAAAAAGTCAACACGTTAAAATCATATAATCATGAAATAATTTGGACATTCAAAATAACAAAAAAGTTGTGTCGATTAACAAAAACAAAATGCTAATAAAACTTTGAAAAATGAAGATGTTCGTATTTTCATTCGCATATTATTGTTAATGATCTGTAAATGTTTTCGAAAAAATTCTTTTCCATGCCAACTAGTCTGTGTATATATCAATATGGCCATTTTATCTCTTATTATCGTTATATATTGTATAACGACATTTATTGTAACGACGCTTAGTATAACGACGCAAAAAAATAGTTTATGAGAGCTTAATTGCCCACGTTTACTAGGTTTGGCAAGATTAGCACTTTATTATTATAAAATATCGTTGGCTAGGTTGGCACTTGATAGTATAAAGTTAAATTCTTTTTTAATTAATGTAAAATGCAAAACTGATTGAACAATTTGAAATTAAGAAAGCCAAAGTAAGAAATTATTTCCTTTTTTTTAAAAAAAAAAGTACTTAGTATAGTGGAATTTATTATTAGACGCTCGAGAGACTAATGTATTACAGTTTTAAGTTAAAATCATATTCATAAATTATATATTTATACATTTAAATAAAATTTTTTATATACTTTTGTATAAATTATATATTTACATAAACATATTTTTCAACAGTTTTAATATAATTCTTGACTTATTTAACCTAAAAAGAAATTTTCAATTTATAGAAATAGACCAAATATATATGTGAAAATAAACATTTTAACAGAGTACGTTTTGCATTAAAAAAAAACAACCAAAAATTAGATTAAGAGTTATTTATCTTCCTAGTACGTTTGGATTAAATTCAGTAAAAGACATCAAATTTTTACAAAAAATTTAAAAAATCAACAACAATAAATAACAATACAAAGTCAAAAGTTTACTATGCATTATTTCCACAGATACATATATTTTTATATTGTTTTGTATTTGTAGCTTGATATATTTTACTTTTGATGTATTTAAGACAGTTAAACTTGTTAGTTCAATTTTGTTGTATGTGACAATCCCAAGGCAATTTATAAGTTCATCTTTTTAGTTGGTATTGGTCAGAGAAGCTCATAAATCTTGGATGGTTTCTTCTAATGGTAGCATTAAAAAAATATATAAATATATAATACTTATTTTTTCAGAAAAAATATTGATTTTATATACTATTTAGTTATTAAACGTTGTTTTTAATACAACATTGTTATGGGTGTTATAAAAATTTACCGCAATGATAGGATCTTCAAGTTTATTTTCTTAGTAACAAATTTAGTATACAAAATGGAACTTACAACTTAATTGAAGGTTATTGTCTTTTTTTTTGTTGTTGTTTGTAAACGATCCTCTTGGATTTGCAGTCTAATTTTTGACCAGAAAAAAAATGTTTTTAGCAGATGGGAATTTATCAAGCGGTAAACGCAAAGTAAGTTTTATGTTATTTTTGTAGGTTCTAGGAAAAAATCCCCAGGGAAAAAATCCCCCTGAGAAAAAAATCCCTGCAAAAAATAAAATTTTTTAAAAAATATTGTTTTGAAATTGATATATTGCCTGCCCAAACCAAAATCCTTATTCAATGTACATACACTCCTTGTATGTTCTATTTATTTGCCAGTCGGTTTATGAAAAATTAAGGATCAAGGTTCTGTTTGTATTATAGTATGTATGTATAAAATATTTGTTATAAACAACTATTGTATTGATATATCGTTTATTTTATGCGCTGTAAAAAAAAATTCAGGGGGATTTTTTCTGGGAGATATTTTCCAGGGGTAAGGGGTATTTTTTCTTGCTACTGTGTTTGTAAACCTAAAACTAAAAAAAATTTAAACGTCATTTGTGTTTAACTGATAAAAATAAAGATAAAAGTGATTTGAAATATTTTCATTAAAAGCATTTAAAATTTTCTTGTACGTTGTCAACATTGAATTTAAGCAACAATTATGTGCAAAACATGTTACAAAAAATTATTCAACCACATCTTTATTAAAGCAAGAAAAAATTAAAACCATTTTCTTATAAAAGCATATACCCAGCATACATTGGATTTGAACAAGAGATTGTTATAAATTATCACGCTCTCGGAAGGTGGGGGGAGGATTGACGATTCGTATCGGACTTGTTACGATGTTGTGACGAGGGGTAGGGGGTGGTTCAAAAATGGAAGAAAATTGCGAGACGTAATTTATGGACGTATTTTAAACGCTTAAAAAAGGTTCTGTACGTTCAAAAACATTTATTTTTGGACCTAATACTTAAGCCACGTTTAATTTTTTGAATCACAACACATGTAATTAAAAAAAATTAGAATCTAATTATTTTAAACTTCTAAATATTGTTTAAACATCTACTTTATATTCCACTAGCTATCCTTAATAAATCCATCGGTTGTAGAGCATAGTTCTACGCTCGTTAATCTCCATTCATTTGAAAATTATTATCAAAAAAACTTCATCAAGCTTAAATTTTTCAAAATTTTAGGCCATCACTTTATGAAGACTCTACAGTTCATGAAACACCATTGTATAACTTATATAATTGTTGAATGTACAAAAACATATTTTTTTACAATTCCGTTTCTTAACTTCCGTTTTCTGGTTATAGAACCTTGAACTTCGACTCCAGACATGTTCATTTTTGATAACTAATTTTATATGAATCAAAAACCAAAGCCTAAAACTAAGATTGTTAAAGAATTGGAAACGCATTGAATCATTTAATGCAACAAAAGTTATTAAACTTCCGATATAAGATACCAAAATTTAATTTTGATAATAAACTCATTCATTAACAAAGTTGAAGTAGATGTATGTCACGTAATAGCTAATTAACGGTCGACTAGTTGCCATGACGATGTAAATCTAAAATCTTTATGACATACAATAAGATAAAAAGATATTTTTAAATCCAAAAAGACAAAAAATTTTATCAAATTATTAAAACAAACATTTAACGATAACTTTGTAATTATAGTAGCATCATTAGTTATTAAAAACATTTTGTATTTATTAATTTATAAAACAAAAATTAGAAATACCGTAACCGTTTGAATTAATGTTTTTTAATGCAATGATAACTATTTTTCTGCGAAACTAAAATTTCAGAGCGTTTGACTGTCCAATAATAAACTTTTTACAACAAAAACGTACTTACAAATAAACATTTGGTAAAATTACTCCTGTTAAACTTGTTAAAGGTGGTGTGTCTTAGACCAGAAAAAGCAACTGGATTGACCGGTCAGGTTGGAGTTTTTTTACTATAACCCAGCTAAATTCTAAATTTTTTATTAAACATTTTAGCTTGTACAGGGATAACATGATTATTCGTTGGATATATATATATATATATATATATATATATATATATATATATATATGCCTATGATATAGATATGTATGTATGTATGTATGTATGTATGTATGTATGTATGTATGTATGTATGTATGTATGTATGTATGTATGTATGTATGTATGTATGTATGTATGTATGTATGTATGTATGTATGTATGTATGTATGTATGTATGTATGTATGTATGTATGTATGTATGTATGTATGTATGACATACATGCATACATATATATCTATAAATGAAATGTACAACACTTTATTTATAGATATGTTTGTTGTATATATAAGTATCATATCTACATGTTTATCACAGATAATTTAGAAAATAAATCTAAAAACCACATTCTAAAAATTAGTTTTTTTTAAAATGCTAATATTTTTTTATTTAAGGAGTTTAAATCTTTTTACTAAAAAATTATTTAGACACGGGCGTGTCTAACCGATTTTTTTAGTATGAAGATTAAAATGTTAAAGGATTTAGGTAATGATATACTTAGATTTCAATCCTTTCTTTTGCTTACGGCTTTGATCAATATCCGATATAAAATGTTGTAAAAATGAAGTGTGCATTTTTTAAATAAGCAGTTAGTTATAAAACTTTAACGCGGTTACTATATTAAAAATGTCACGACTGCTAATTAACTTGAACGCATTCTGTAAAATGCTTTAAAGTTTAGAATGATATTTGATTTTGCGCAACATGGAATTTATTTGTTGATTAACAAATTAAAATTGTTTTTAATGAATGAAAAAAGTATAAAGCTATGACGCAAAGTTCTGACATGACGTTGGTCGCAAATATATATGAACTTGTGACGTGAGTTATAAAATGCAAAGATTATTTTTCAAATTTATATTAGTTAATTTTTTTTTTAATATTATTATTGTAATATTTAGTTCAAATTAATAAACTGTTAAATGCAATTTAAAGTTTAACGATGCATTAAAATAAAAAAAAATTTTAAGCGACATTTTGCTTTTTTCAAAAGAATTTTACAATTAAACAAAACAAAATAATAAACAAATACACGAAAAACAAAAAATTATTACTCAGTCAGTAGGGTGTCTATAAATTCTTTTTATATGGTAGAAAGTATAACTTTTGTGTCATTTTTCAAAAAATATGCATTATGTGGCAGGTTTCATAAAAATAAACCTTTAGAAATTTTGAGTGAGAAAGCAGCTTAATGAACCTTTTCCTCTATACGTAAAAAAAATATATAAATTAGTATTTTTTTACTTTAACATTGATAAATATCATAACGATTTAGTGGTTAATTTATGATTAATAATTTTAATTTACGTTTTCTTATTATTGTAGAATAGATTGTGGTTTAAATTTCGTCAAATATTTTAGATGGTAACTAGTTTTGATACAGTAATGTTATACAGCCATTAGGTTCAGTTTAAAATAAATAAAAACGTTTCCGTAAAAAAATGTTTGTAGACGCAGAAGTATACATAGTAAGTATGGATAGTAAAATAACGTCACTTTAAAAATTTAATAGGATTATATTGATATGCCTTAAAACTTTTGAAAAGAGCATTACGAGATTGTTTAAACATTTTAAAACTTTTAATAACAAGCGCCCTAGGAACTTAAGTTAAATGATAAACTTTAGCAAGAATAATAGTTTTATATTTTTGTATAATTAATTTCAGTATAAGATATAAATACTTTTTGTAAATAAAAATGAAATCGAAAATCTCAATCTCACGTTTTTTAAATATATTTAATGAGTTGATACAATATCAATGATATAAGTTAATTATTTTAATGTTTTAAAACATTTTTTTTTTTGTCATTAAAACTTAAAGTTGATAAAATAACGATATTTTTCAATTTTGAAGGATTTTGAAAACTTTATTTAATTTTGACAACTGATGCAATGCAGATAATTTTTAATAAATTGAGACACTAAAACAAAGACATGAAGATTTACAAATATTTATTTCTTTATTGTAGAAGACAGATTAGTGAAACCTTTATTGATCTCAACAGTACAGGTTGTTTGCATTGTGATATAAAAGGTCTCTCTTTTATAACTCTTGGTTCTGTCATAAAAAAGAAAAATACATTTGGAAAAATGTACTCACTTTGGTTAGACCTTTCTACAAATTTCAATTTTATCATATTGTTGCTACTGCTTTTCACGTTCGTTTATTTCATTTTATTGAAATCATCAGGTAACGCTTGAATTTTTGTTTAATAAGTTTCTCTAGCACTCAACCAAGGTTAGTTAGAATCCTAAATTTAAATTTATGATTTATGTTATTTGAAAAATGTTATAAATGTTATTTTAAATTAGGTCATCTCTTAAATTTCTTTTATTACTCTATGAACTGTTTGGTTTTTAAGGCTCCTTTGCTATATTGAGATAAATTAAGTTCTGCTTTGAAAAAGCAGGTGTTTTTGTACCCTTTGTTTTATTTAAAAAAATAGAATATTTAAGTTTTATAAAATTGTAAATAAAATACAAAAAACTCGAAGCTCCTAAAAATAAAGCAAATATAGATTAGTAAAAAAAACAGTAATCTTAAACTTGCATTTTCTTTCTTTCCAGATAACATCTTCTTAATAAGCTCTTAAACTTGCATTTTCTTTCTTTCCAGATAACATCTTCATTTAGGAAGTCTAGTCAAAGTTGAAGAAGGGCCGTGGGTATGCACCTCTAGCCACGGCACTGATTTTAAGTAATTTTACTAATCTTTATATCGTCATAGCATGAAGTAATTAAACAGACTATTTTTAATTACTTCATTTACCAGAAATACGCAAATAGTTCATTGGCAATTAGCCAACAGAGTTATATATTTGTGAAAAACACAAAAGTAAACAACTAACTATAAGCAGTTATTTATAGTACTTTTTTTTTAAGAAAAATAATATGAAAGTATAACTTTACTCAAAAGGTTATAAACTTTATCATATTAACTTCATCTAAATGCAGCAGAAAGTAAGTTAAAGCATCAAGTATCAATTAAGCTTGATTCGTTAATCATTTACTTAATTTTCTAGTTCAGCATATTTTTAAAAGCTGTACAAACTAAAAACTGTAAAACAAAATTTTAACAAAAGTCATAGTATTATATTTATTAAACTTGATAAATTAATAAAATATACATGATTTAAACTTAAATTTGACAAAGATATTATTATGTATAGAGAAAAAATAGCCTTTTTTGCTACCTTAATGCTATCCCGTCGTATAACCCCGTGCTATATTGTTTAAAAAAATAATGCAAGTAGTTAATTAAAGTAATGCGAGCAATGCAGATTGTTAATCGTAACTATAAACAACAGTGTATATCCTTTCAAAGTGATAAAAGAGTATTTGTATCACTTTTAGCTCATTATCATTATACTCATAGCTAAATTATTATTGTTACTCTAATTATATTATATGCGTGCATAATGATCTTAACAATTTACTTTACAAACACTAAAATAATCGTTAAAAAAAAATTGTTATAAAACATCGTAACTTTATTGCAAAAATTTCGCATATTAAAAAATAATTGTTAAAATATCTAATTAATACTTTGTCAATTGGAAACTTGTCATATCTTATCAACAGATAATGCATGTAAAGTATCAGCAGGTTGCTGACTTCTTATCTTCATTTCTGTTATTCTTTTGGAAAAAGTTCCAGATTATGCTGGTCTGTAGTGAAGACATCTTGACTTGTAATAATTACAAGCTTGATTTCAGTGACAGTCTGTGTTGATTAAAGGTTTGGTTTAGATTTCAATAATATCTGAAAGGATTAAATAACTTTAAAGATTGTCCAAAAACTACGACAATTTGATTTTAACCTGGAGTGTGGAGTCTAAATTTTAATAACTTGTCAGAAAGTCAATTTATTGCAACCTATGCCTTCTCCTGGATTTTAAAAAAATGTTATAAAAAAATATCTTAAACAATTTTAAAAAATAAAAATAGCCTACGGTTTTTTATTTTTGAAATAGTCGTAATTATGCTGAAATGTTTCGTTTGTAGTAACAATTTAACAATTAAAGACTCTGCTGCAAAAAAAGTAACTTTATTTGGTTCAGGGCTCAGAAAAAACGAATAAATTTTTGAGATTTTCGAATTCTCACAACCTTTTTGCACAGGTGTGGTCAGTATAAAATAACTCTATAAAATAAAAATGTCAGTATAAAATAAACGTTCTTTATTTTATCACCAAAACTAACAACAATATTAAAAAATCTATAATTATCAGTAAAAAAAAAAAGAAAAGAAAAGATTATCAGCAAAGCATTTCTTAATTTTAAGCTATGAAAGAACTTAAACTATGATTTTGTAAATGTAATTAGGAACCTAATAACTTAAAATATCTTCATTAGATAAATATTTTGAAAACTGTATTTCAATAATTTAAAGAATCTTTTTATTTTTTTTTAAGTTGCCGCATTTAGTAACAAATAGTATTAACTTTTATTTGAAAAAATCGTCTTCATATAATTATGCACCAAAAATAATAAACTAAAAACTTGTTGCCGTATTTTCGACCATGTTTTTAGTTTTTTGTACATTACTTGTGAAGTACTATTGCACAAAAACTTTAATTAAAACGATAAAGATATCTTGGAAAACGATTTCAGCCGTAAATATTACTTATTTAAGTAGTTTATTATTTTTGCATTTAGTTTATAAATTTGTATCAATATTTATATAATTTACACATTTTTTTAAATTAGAAAAAATTGAAGTGTATATATGTTTATAAACTAAATATAAAAAAAAGAGAAAATACAATCAAATAAACAGAAAAAAAGTCATATGTAGTGGAGGGAAAAAAGGAATTATGGAACTTTTCCATAATATATATCTAATCGCAGCACTATTTCTATACGTCCGTTGTTGTCCTAAAAACTGCCTGTGTGTAACTCAAACGTTGCCATCATCATACTGTGACGGAGGAAAACTTACGGCTGTTGCTAAGAACATTGCCGGAAATACAGAAATATTATCGCTTCAACTAAATGAAATTAAAAATATAACCGATCTTGATTTTAAACATTTACCTCGTTTAAAAAGACTTAATTTACAGTTCAATCACATTGAACATATATCTGATGACGCATTTGCGGACCAAAGACACCTCCGGTCTCTAAACTTGGGACATAATAATTTAAAAGTATTATCACCGAAGGTTTTTCGAAATCTTATATCATTAGAGGAACTTTATTTAAACAATAATTTATTACAAATATTAACTAATGAACACTTTTCATATCTATCAAGTTTGAAAAGGTTATACTTACAGTGGAACAGTTTACAGACTCTAGACCACAACACTTTTTTACATAGTTCGAGTTTAGAACTAATAAATTTGTCTCACAACAAACTTGAAGAAATCAATAACCATATATTTAAAAATATGATAAAACTGAAGTCACTTATTTTAGACAACAATGCAATAAGAAATATTGAGCCAGAGGCTTTTCAAAATCTTTTAGAGTTGCTGGAAGTTACGTTGGAAAATAATTTATTAACAACACTTAATGTAAATCATTTTATTGCCAAAAAAAAACTAAGTAAAGTAAGTTTCTTTAATAACCCTTTTCAATGTAATTGTAAAATTTATTGGATGTACGAAGCTGTAAACAATGGCTGGTCTAACATTATAAATCTAGAAAAACTAACTTGTAACCACTCTTGGGAAAACAAAACTAGAAATATAATCGAGCTTAAAAGTGAACAATTTACCTGCCATGGTTCTTGGGGTGAATGGGAAAATTGGTCTAGCTGTAATAAACCTTGTAGTAATCAAATGAGGTACAGAACACGGTTATGCTATACAAATGCGAGATCAGAATACACAGGACTGTGCGAAGGAGATGCCACAGAATTAGAAAGATGCAGTTCATCTTGTACATATGGAGTTTTAACAAATTGGGAAGAATGGAATGAATGTTCAACTTTGTCAAAAAATGTTTATCAAATCCGAAAAAGATTTTGTTTTGACCCTTTGACTAACTTTGAAACAACAGGATGCACAGAGCCTCTTGTTGAAAAACGACTATGCATTAAAACTTTATCTTTTGAAGAAACCTCTTGGAACAACTGGAGTTCTTGGTCAACTTGTGATAAAGAATGCGGATTAGGAATAAAAACAAGAGAACGCGTATGCGTAAGATCAGTTTTAAAAACTAAAAAACGCACGTGCAACGAAAATGAAGTTCAGGTACAAGAGAATACGTGTTTTAATGCTTTGTGTCCTACGATGACGCAATGGACAGAATGGTACTCTATTTCTAATTGTTCTGCTACGTGTGGAAAAGGTAAAAGTTTAGATTAATGTGTGTAAACGTATATGTGTGTTTTCTCAAATTTTATATACTTGAGTTAAAATTGCATGTATGTACGGTTTAGAATTAAATATTTACTGCATTGTTTTAAAAAAAAAGAAATAAAACCTTTTTTAATTTTTAGGAGTTCTTAAAAAAACTCGCAGTTGTCAAAACATTTTGAATTTAACCGTTAATGCGCAAGACTTTTGTCTCGGTGAAAACTACAAATTTGTCGAATGCTACGGTAATCATGAACTATGCACAATGAAAGGCAGTTGGTCGCAATGGTCTTTATGGAGCACATGTGACACGTTTTCTTGCAAACAGTACAGATCAAGAAAATGCTATTCCCATTTTGTTGGGAATGATGTGCAGTAAGTTGTGTTTCTAATTATATTTATTTAAAAACAAATGATATAAAGTAATAATAATAATAATAAAATATATTATAATAAACTACACTTTCAGTGCAACTGTATTTATTTTTACAGTATTCAATTTAGGATTATGTATATTTGAGTTTAGTCTAGTTTTTTTTAACAGACTTTTTAATAGCGGATTTTTTGTTAAACTAAATATGATTGCGTTTTTAAATTATTTTGGGAGCATTAAGTTTGATGTTATATGCTAGATTGCTGTTTTTGTATGCGCTGTTTTTAAGTAACTGTTTGTATTTGTTTTTAGCGAGATTAAATTTGTTTTGAAGTATTTTTCGAAAGCCTGTCACTTATTTATTTAGGTACATGTTTAAGAGATTGTGGTTGTTATATATAAGATGTATTTAAGGTTGAAAATTAAAGGTTGTCGTGTTTTTTAAAAGGTTTATGAGTGCTATCGTTTAAGCTATATCAACTGATATAGCTTAAACGAATACTTTAACTGATTCTAAGTCTTTTATGATAAATTTCTAAATGTTGTATTTCTAAATATCATATTTCTAAATCTGTCTTACGCGGCATATTTATTTGTTATTAAAAACCCATTTTGTGATTCAGCCTTTTTATGGTAACCTCGGATAGAATGTGCTTAGTGTGTTAATGCTTACGATTTGCAAACCCTGGCGCGTTTTAACTATCAACAAGGGTTGAATTAACGCATCGCGAATTGCGATATCTGTTAAATTATCTGGTCTTCAAAGTTTCAGTTTATGGAAAACTACGAAATTTACGGAATAGGCGAATAAACTTTAACTTGTTAATGAAAATGTTATAAAAAACAAAACAATAAATTTATGACTACAAAAGTAATAACACTACAGTGTTGTTACTTTTATAACACTCTTTTAAGTTACATTTATAGTTTATTGTTTGATCAAACAACACATAATCAAGATATTATAAATAAAAATGATTTAGTTAAATAATTCCAAACTTTAATTAAAGTAGTAATGCATCTAAAAAAAATACAATAGATATTTAAACAATGTTAAAAACCTCAGCAACTTTTACGAATACATATTTTTATAAACAGTTTAGCATTTCTAAACATCTTACTAACGGTCCGGAAAAAACGCGCGTTTACTTTAAAGTCAACCAATGACAACACTGGTAATTTACTTCTTAGGAGAAATCTATATTAAAAGGGTAGGGGGGGAGACTAAAAACTTAAATTTTGTTTTATTATTTAATCAATTAAATCATAATAAAAGTAAAGACAAAAAAATATATTTCTAAATATACTTCTTTATAACTAAAATTTATTAATTTGAACACCTCTGTTTTTAGTTTTAAGTAAATGTCAGTACTACTCTCAGTGGCGAAACTGCGGGGGAGGGGAGGGGTTAACAGACAAAAAGTGTCTTATTTTTAAACTTCTTTTAGGTTGCATGGGCGATATGGAGCTCATTTTGAAAATCGTGTTATTTGTTTATAACAAGTCACTTGTTATAAACAAAAACTATATCTCAAAACAAAAGTTGAGTGAAAATTGGCCTTAAAATTAAAAAAAATATATATTGGTAACCGATAAATAATAAAACTTTTATTGTAAATCCTACCGCTTTTTTTTATTATTTCCTCCACCAATTTTATACATCCTGACTAAAATTCCTACCCCCACCTACCTTTGTATTAAGCACATTAGAGTAGTCAGTAGCAAACCCCCCCCCCCCCCCCCGCACGATTTTCAAAATGAGCCCCATATCGCCCATGCAACCTAAAAGAAGTTTAAAAATAAGACACTTTTTGTCTGTTAACCCCTCCCCTCCCCCGCAGTTTCGCCACTGAGAGTAGTACTGACATTTACTTAAAACTAAAAACAGAGGTGTTCAAATTAATAAATTTTAGTTATAAAGAAGTATATTTAGAAATATATTTTTTTGTCTTTACTTTTATTATGATTTAATTGATTAAATAATAAAACAAAATTTAAGTTTTTAGTCTCCCCCCCTACCCTTTTAATATAGATTTCTCCTAAGAAGTAAATTACCAGTGTTGTCATTGGTTGACTTTAAAGTAAACGCGCGTTTTTTCCGGACCGTTAGTAAGATGTTTAGAAATGCTAAACTGTTTATAAAAATATGTATTCGTAAAAGTTGCTGAGGTTTTTAACATTGTTTAAATATCTATTGTATTTTTTTTAGATGCATTACTACTTTAATTAAAGTTTGGAATTATTTAACTAAATCATTTTTATTTATAATATCTTGATTATGTGTTGTTTGATCAAACAATAAACTATAAATGTAACTTAAAAGAGTGTTATAAAAGTAACAACACTGTAGTGTTATTACTTTTGTAGTCATAAATTTATTGTTTTGTTTTTTATAACATTTTCATTAACAAGTTAAAGTTTATTCGCCTATTCCGTAAATTTCGTAGTTTTCCATAAACTGAAACTTTGAAGACCAGATAATTTAACAGATATCGCAAATCGCGATGCGTTAATTCAACCCTTGATCAAGTTACAACAACCGAATCATAAATGTTTATGATCATGGGCTATTACAGCAGTTACACTCCATATTTAGTTACATAGTAGTCAGTTGCGGATTAAGACTTCTTGAGGCCCGGGGCTATTTTTGTTATTGGAGGCCTTTTTATGGGCCAGAGCCTACAAAAGGACAGAAAAAAAAATTCCTTTAAAATTTTTAGGGGCCCCTGAATTTGTGGGGCCCAAACCCCTCCTAGCCCGCCTTGAACGCACTGATAGTAGTTACTATTAGTTAGTAGTAACATACTATAATTACAGTGCTTTCTATAATTACACGCAATTATAGTAAGCTATGTTATGATTAAAGAATCGATTTAACTTTTTCGTTGATTTGCTTTAGTTGTAAAGAAGCAAACTTCTGCTGTGTTTTATAATTCTTGCACGGTCTCTGTTATTTTAGTGTTTTCTATAGCAAAATGCTTTTTTATTAAAATGAACTATTAAACGGTTATTTTTTTTCTAAGATGTTATTGTACCAATTGATAACATCAGTGGGATACTTTTTAATTGGTCTAGTTGAAAGTTGTTTATTTTGCTTTTTAATTTAGTTGCCTTCCGAATTTATTGCTTTTTTTTTTTAATTATTAGGTACTTTTTTGAAGGTAACGAATAACAAATTTAATTATTAATTTATCATGATTTTCATTTATTTAGTTTATTAATCTAACATGATTATTATTATTTAGTTCATTATTTAACATGATAATCATTATTTCATCATAATTTTCATAGCCATTTCGACTTCAATAGATAAAAGTCCTAAGTCATTGCAATTGCCGTACATACATAAGCAATTTTGTGTCATTTTTAATCTTAATACGTTTTTTATTTTTTTCAACACACTAAACGATTTTTATGTTTGGGTAATTGTCACTGGAATTGTGCAAAATAGCTAATTGCAATTATAATGTTTGGAAACAGTACATCCAGTTTGTTTTTTTTTAACTTCATTTAACAATTCAACAGGCTGAAAAGAAATATTTTGTATATCGGCATAATAAATTGATTTTAAATGTAGTATTTCATTTGTAAGATTATCACAAATATCATTTTCATACATTTTTTGCAATTTTTTAGACTTATTCCGTATTTTTTGATCATTTAAGTCACGGAATAACTATAATACATTGAATAAAAAATATTCTTCTTTTGCTGGATTAAATCTTCTTGTCGTATTTCCAATGATTCATCCATAAAAACATTGAAAGTATTAATTCTGAGTTCTTCTGTCAGTTTCCTTTTTAACTCGTGTGCTGTTTTTTCCAATTAGTATATTTTTTCCCCTAAAAAAACTGTATTTATCTGTAAATATGTGCCTAACAATCAACATTCATTTAAAATAGTGTCCCAACTATTTCTTATTGCATTTAATTCAAAAAAAGACTTGACAAATTGGTTAATTCTACAACAATTGTTGCATTGCGAGCTTGTAAAACAGTACTTCTGTAATTTATAGCTGCAAGAACTTTGTACCAAACTTTTGCTAATACCAGGCAAAAAATTCCATATATTTTTTATTTCGTTAAGATCTGATCAAGTTTCCGACGTTTAAATCCAAAACAGAGTCTATTGCATTTTTAGTTTCATTAATTTTTTCAGCAATTGATTTAACACTTTCAATTATCGCAGACCAACTTGTATTGGACATAGTGTACAAAGAACATTAAGTATTTATTTTTAATATTTCCATTTTTGTGGGCTACTACTAAATATATTGTATAATTTTTTATCGTGCCGAAATATCTAAGAACTTTAATACAAGATTCTGCTGAACACCGCATGATTTTAAATTATGACCAAAGGCGACTCTACAAATAAAAGGAATCCTTATAAAGTACCGACTGGTTCCTTTAACAATAAAAAAAAAGGTCCTCAAAACTAAAATTCACCCGACTGATTTGTGTTAAATCCCCGATTTGCCCACAAAATTTGTCAAAAAAACGACTATAACTTGAAAATCACTTTCTTTAGGGGAAAGAGGGGGTGGAACACCCCTCTTAAAATTGCCTCTGACTATGACATGCATAATGAGAAAATATTACCAATGGATTAATTTGAAAAAAGCAACTCGTGTACCTTCATATCCTTGTGAGCGACAGTGACTTATAGGAATATTATACCTTTAGCGTTTCAAGAATTATTTAGCAACTTCTTCTCCAGTCTTCTTATTACAATTAAAAAATGATTGAAATCCTTCCATAATTACGAATTTTCTGAAATTAGTAGTAACGTACCGTAAAATGAATGAAGCTTGTTCTAGATGCGCAGAATCGGGTGTTGAGTTTACAATAGGGGGACAATATTTCACAGTTTCTCTTTTCTTTGAAATACAAGTTCTTAAGTAATCAGCACAGCATGACATATAATACAGACAGTATGATACAAATTCATTTTAAATGTCTGCTGTAATGTACTAGCAATCTCTGTTTTTCGTTTTGTGCCT